TGTAGCTGGCCTTTTGTTACATTTAGATCTTAGCTAGCCTTCTGCTACTTTTAGCTAACTTTTAGCTTGTAGCTAGCCTTTTGTTACATTTAGATCTTAGCTAGCCTTCTGCTACTTTTAACTAGCTTTTTGCTACTTTTAACTTGTAGCTAGCCTTTTGTTACATTTAGATCTTAGCTAGCGTTCCGCTACTTTTAGCTAGCTTTTTGTTACTTTTAACTTGTAGCTATTCTTTTGTTACATTTAGATCTTAGCTAGCCTTCTGCTGCATTTAGCTAGCTTTTTGTTATTCCCCCAACGCAGAAATAAAACGGAGAAGTGGAAAAATCCTACGTCCATGAATGCGTGAATCCGCGCAAAAACTTGAAAAATAAGTGAGGTACCGACTTCCATTTTAGTGTGTGGCTCCATCTATGCGTAAGAAATCTTCCTATGAAAACTGGGATGTCACATCAAAATCCAAGATGGCCGCAGGCATATGTAAAGCAGTCACCACTATCATTTGAGGAAACCGTTTTCTAGTTTTTATATTGCTTTAAAGTGTAGTTTCCCTAATTATTGGGGTGGCCAGTGCAGTGGCCAAAGGTTAATCTATGGTGGCCAAGGTCACCATTTGCCACCCTCTGGCTCCGCCGTTCTACCTGGTGGTGGATAAAATTGCTCCCTTGCCGCTTTGGACAAGATTAGTCTCTAAACCTACAAACATTCATTAATCAAATCCCAGAGAAGGTGGGCATCAACCTACCAATTGCTAAAGTTCATGCTCAATCATCCAGGTATCAAATACAATAATTCTTAGTCAGGTTACTTTTATCTCGGGTAGCGTTTTTGTCTTTGTCATTTCTAATTTCAGTAAAGTCATTTAGAATTCAGCATTTTGACAGAAAACATAATACTGTAATTTGTCTGGTGTTGTTCTGAATGACACAAAGATTGCGCTCCAGCAGGATGCGTTTGCTCGGCCTTAATGGTCAGATCATTTCCTGAGTGAGGTTTGATTTACAAGACAAAGCTCTTCCTGTGACTCTGGTTACTGATGAAGAAATGTTCTGCATCTCTCTAAAACTGTATTGTCATTTTTCTTAGGCCAACGCAGAAATCAAAAAGAAAGCAGCAGCTCGGTGTCGGGAAGGGCGTCCGATTTAAAACAATTTGTCAAACCGTTCGTGTGAGTTCACTCGCTGTGACGGCCCCTGCAGAAGAAAGCAGCTGAAAGAAAACCAGCAGCAGCAACTCTGAAACCACAACACAGACCAAACAAACACGCTCCTTTTCACCTTCATTTCTCCTGCAAAACTTCATCCATCGCAACAAAACATACACAGAATGCTCAGGTGGAGTTTCTTGTAAAAGATCACACCTTTCAAATAACTCTTACAGCACCGTAAACCCATGGCACCACTTCTGAAGAAACTCTTGCAAACCAAAGTTCAGACAGCAAGTACAAGTCTCCACCTACATGAGTCACCACCCAAACAAACAGGTACCTTCAGCTGAAATCAACCGATTGAGGTAGAGTTGACCATGACCACACAGCGACCTAATCCAGATGACTAAACTCTTGTTTAGACAGACGTAAAAAAAATAAACTCTTTCAATTCTAATGCTAGATCATAGCAAAGCTAAAAAAGAGAAAGGTTTACACTTTGCAGCTCTGGAGCATTCAGATTCAATGCCAAAAAGGAAAGGCATCAGCAACGACCTCAGAGAAGAAACAGTCCAACAATCAGAGGTCATTAGGCCACTTCTAAAAAAAAATAGGCCATCCATCCTGCAGTAAGAAAAGATTTGCATAAGACGGAAACGCTCAACAACGCTTGCTGATCTTTCCCTGAGTGGACTTCCCTTCAAGTTCAGCTCAGGTTCAGAACATGCAAAGGTCAGAGAAACTGTAAATAAGCTAAAAGCTACATGTCAGTCTGAAAAAGGCCTCAGCTAAAGTTCATGAGAGGAAAAGACTAAAACAAAATGGCTCCTCTGGATGAACTGCCTCAAGGATGAACAGCAGCGTGGCTTAAAGAACGTTTCTCAGTGGGCCACAACTGCCAAAGACTGACGACTCAAAATGATGAGGAAAAAAAAAAAGTTAATTTTCACCTGCAGTCTCACTGAATTCTGGGTGTTTTCAACCAGTGGGACGTGCAGCCATGTTTTGCGCAGCCATTTTGTGAACCAATCACAGCTCATTAATGTGTGCACGGCAGGCAAAACTCTTACTTTACACCATGCATTATCTCACTGTCCACATGGCACCTACCTCGGCCCACTTTGTAACAACAGTTTTGATTTAATCCGCTGGAGTTCGCTTTTGAAATGCATATTTTGACCGCGGTTTTAAAGACCCAGATTGTAGAGTTCCACCCCGGGCCATCTGTCAGGCAGCTGTATGATGGTCAAACTGGGTCAAATATTACGGTACTTTAAAGATACTGCTCATAAACTAAAAGTCATTCTGTCAGCCTTTAGGTTGCGTGTGTGTTTTTCACACACTGCTTCTACAGTTTGACACAATCTAATTTATTGTTCATATGAGAACCTAAATATTATGATCAAGTTGTGATAAAGGCTTTTTTTTTTTTATTAAAAGAGTGTGAGCTCACTTTTGAAAACAGCTGCATTTCTAACGAGGCTTATCAGCAGGAATTCCAAGCAGAAGTTTTATGTTGTTTCTGGAAACCTGTCAAGGAGCAGCCTTGCTCCCACCACTGTTTTCCCACTGATCCAGCCAGCTGTCTGACAGACTGGAGCCTCTGGGTGCTGCTGTCCATGGGTCAAGGTCATATAAGTTACTAAAGGTATCTTGTTGGGACAGTTAGCAGCTCTGCAGGGTATTTAACAAAAAGGTTCGAGGATCTAATCTGCAGAGATTCACGTCCACAACACCGCCGAGCTTTTTGGTTTATAACAATCCTGCATGTTCTGCATGTTCTGTGACGTGGGAGGCTGCTATTTTCATCAGGACATCAGATCTCACACTGTCCATCTGGATCGTGATATGCTGCATAAACTACGCTTCCATGAAAGCTATAATACTGTTAGACAGATCAATAAACTTTAAACTGCTGCAGCATCCTGTCAGCTCTCAAAGATGCAGGGCTTTAATGGACTCTGCAGACATTTGTTTTCCAATAAACGGTGATGGAAAGTGGAGGCAGCACGTCCAGTTAGGGGATTAACCTCAAACGCACCACCAAAAAGGAGGAATTATCGTTTTTTTGTTGTATTGCCTTGTAATGTTTAATTTACAGTAAGGAAAGAAAAGCATCGGATTCACTAAGCTTTTCTGTTTTTGCTCCAAATATTACTAAAATTTTTAATTGTTGTGTCTTAAGCAGACTTTTCTCAAAAACAAGCCGTTTTGTGCAGACGTGACGGTCGCAGCTCGACTCCGAGATAACGGTTAGCGTGCATCAAACTGCACCGTCCGGAACGTGGAACCTTCATGGCCAGTAGGAGGGAAATTAGATTGAAAACGGTCATTTGTTCAAATGTTCCTGAGCGCACGCAGCACCGCCCGAGAGCCCGAAGATCATGGGCATCAAGTACTGACTTTCACTCTGGTTGTTGCCTTGAAATCTTTGGATTTGATCACCTGCAGGGGGATATTCAGTCTTCTGTTGAGGAATGCGATTCTGAAATTGTTCTTATAATTGAACATTTTTGTAGACTGGAGAACCTCTGCCCATCTTTACTTCTATTCAGCCTCTAACGTCCTCCTATTGTTATTTGACCCACCAAAATGACGCAAGAAGTCTCGGTTTTAAAACAAAAAGGCCTCAGACACGAGAACAACAGGCCGACTTAGTCGTTAGCTTCTCCAGATGGTTCTTCTTGTTGCACCTGACCCACCTTTTTTCACCTGCCGCAAAATTCAAAATGACCTTATTTGTTCATAGTTCAATTTTTCTTTTACGTTACTAGAACCGCCTTCTTCCACCTTCGTAATGTCGCTAAAATTAGAAACATCTTATCTAAAAATGATGCAGAAAAACTGGTTCATGCTTTTTATCGCATCTAGACTGGATTATTGCAATGGTTTATCATCTGGGTGGCTACATACTTCTTTGAAAAAGTCTTCAGTTGATCCAAAATGCTGCTGCCAGAGTCTTAACTGGAATTAGTAGGAGAGATATATCTCTAGTTTTAGCTTCTCTCCACTGGCTCCCTGTCAAATTAATAAAAGAGCTCTAAATCTTACTTCTAACCTACAAAGTCCTCAACAACCTAGCTCCATCTTGTATTACAGATTGTACCGTCCCCCGTTTTCCTAACAGAGCACATCGTTCTCAGACTGCAGGCTTTTACTTGCAGTTCCTAGAGTTTCCAAGAGCAGAATGGGAGGAAGATCTTCCAGTTATCAGGCTCCTCTCTTGTGGAACCAACTTCCAGTTTCTGTCCGTGAGGCTGACACATTGTCCAGTTTTAAAACTGGGATTAAGACTTTTCTTTTTGATAAATCCTATAGTTAGGGTTGACTTGTCCTTAAGACTACTTGTGGACAAATTGGCTACACTTCTTTAAATGATTTGTTACAAAAGGAACAGTTTTCACTTGAAATTATTTCTATTGTAACTTGTGATTCTCAACCTGCCATTGTGTATCCGTTCCTTCTTCCTGTTCCTCTCAAACCCAGAAGCAGATTTTTGCAGACGCGCCTGGTTCTGCTGTTGGCTTCTTCCTCATGAGGAAGTTTTTCCTTTCCACCGTTGCCTTTATGCTTGCTCAAGATGAGTCTGGCTGAAGTTAAACTCAAAGCAGTCTGCTCCTCAGATGATTAACTTAGTTCTTATATATGTGAATGTTTCTGTGCAGTGCCCTGAGATGACTTCTGTTGTCACTGAATTAAATTAAATTAAATAATGACATTTGCAGCTAATTGCATTTTGGCCCATTTGCTTTTGAACTGTGGTTGAAGATGAGATAAGAAACCCAGAACAATCAGCTCTATCTCGCCTGCCCCATCTGGACCTACCGGATCACTGGTCCGAGCAGCAGCATGTGCAGAAACAGAACCAGGGGCCGGTCCCGGCCCAGGTCTCTGTGGATGAAGGTTAAAGTTAACTGGATGAGCACGGCGGGCAGCAGCATGAAGGCGATGGTGAAGCCCATCCACACGGTGTCGTCCGTCTTGTGGTACCTGCTGCTCAGCACCGAGGCGGTCACGAACTCGGCGCAGTAGAGCCCGGTGGCCAGCAGCACGCTGAGCGGAGGACGGACCCGGCTGTGGTTCACCACCACCACCAGCCTGCTCTCATCCACGGAGGAGCTCCGTTCAATGTCCGTGATCTCCCCGTCCTGCTCCTCCATGGCCACCTCGCACGTCGACAAGTTTGAGGCACGCGAGCGGGACGGACAGCTCCCCTTCTTAAAGCGAACCCTCCTTCAAAAACATCTCGGTTTTACGCTCATCCCACTTTAACGCGCCGTCTCTCCCAACTTTCCACCAGTTCGATCATCGCCGGCTTTTCATTGTGCTCCTCCACATTTCGGCTCGGTCACCGCTCCGCAGGGTCTGTGATTTAAAGTGGCTTTGTGAGGGAAGGGACCCGTCTGTCCGCTGCCAGTCGGCGTGCTGGTCGGGAAAAGTTCAGTAACGTCGAAACCACAGAAACTTCAGGGAGACGGCCTTCGTCCACACTCGGAGCTGGTCTGGGGAATCGGTGAGCGTCGGTTCTATCTGTAAACACACCGAGAAGCGCCTGGGTGTCTGCATGATGAGTTGTGTTGATGAAACGGCTGCGTAAAGTGACACAAAATGGCGTCGACTAACACCGGAAATGAAAGTTCATTTCAAAATAAAATATATTTAAAATATTGTTTTTAAAAAGTGCCTAAATTATTTAAATGTACAAAAAAATTGTGCAAATGAAGGCAGAGTTTTTAATACATTACACGTATTTACAAACAGGTAGTTATTTGCATGAAGAACCAAGAAAAAAACTCGAACGTTAATGAACTTCAACCCAAGCGGATGAGGAAAATTACATAAAAATGCTTAATGAGCCGAAAAGGCTGACAAAATATCAATTATGCGTCTTGTTGCGTTTTCACTGTACTCATTCGGCTATTTTGTTGTTGGAATGTGGTTTTCCTCCTACGTCCGGTTGAGCGTCTTCTTCGTCAGTTTTAATTTGTTGCTGCCTTGAGAAACTGGTTTAGAAAACCACATCATGTACATTTCTGGAGGGGAGCTATTAGAAATAAAAAATAAAATAAAAATCAGGGCACTGTTCTGTTCTAATAAAGCTTAGCTGCTGTAATCACTTATTTAAGGTAAACATTTGAAATTATATTAATTAGTCTACCGCCCCTAGTGGTCACAGTGAAAATTACACGTGCAAACTTCTGTTGACTGGTAAATAAACATTTTAATTAAAAAAAAAAAAAAAAAAAGGATTATCCTGATACGTTTACCTTCTTTTTAATGGCTGTAGTGGGTTAAAAGTTTTGCAAATAAAAATGGAAATAATTTGTACTTTATATTAATATGTATATAAAATCCATTATGACTATTTGAAGAAATATCCACAGTTAAGCCTTTTTAATGAAATGTGCTGAAACAGAAATGATATGGTGCTTCAAACTGTAATTATTCCCTGTTTACTAAAAAGCTACTTTTTTAAAATAATGGTTGCAATAAATAGTTAAAAAGTTAGGAGTAAATACAAATCAGCAGCTTTGACCTATTTGTAAGTTTCTTAAGGTAAATAAAGCTTGTTAAAACAAAAAGGTTTGAAGCTTAATTTCACACCTCTTTAGTTACACATAAATCTTTCCTGCATTAATGTGATAATATTTTAACAAATTAAAGGTGCATATTTCACAAAAACATAAGGGAAAACCATGCAACCACAGATTTTTTTTTACGCATGTCAAGAAAAAAGTATAAAATATGAGAAGAAAATAGTGGAAAAATAGAAGTAAAGTGTTTTTGGAATGTGTTTGTCATCTTATAAGTGGGTTACTTATTAGATGTTCTAAATGTGACCATGATGGGGAAGCTTGTAAAATCAAAGAAACATAGCTGGGGAAAAAATGTGACACAGTCTACATTTGTGTTACAATCTCTGTGGACATAATTTTATGACACCCACTGTCTGTCCTGTCCAAATGAAAGTGGAGTATGAGCACAGAGGGATCAGTTTTCTGTCACTTCCATTTTTAGTTTCACCCGGCAGGGCAAGCCAGTCCATGCTTTAGACTTAGTGTAGCACGAACAGGTCACAGAATGACACTGATGAATCACACTTTAATACGAATATTTACATATATGTTTAGAAGACAACAAAGGAAGCTGTTCCATTTATTCCCTTATGAACAGTTTCCTCCTAGCTCACTCCAAACACTCCTGTATAATCAGATCCCCCCTGAAGTAGGTGAGACGACCCTGACTTTGTGTCAGCACATTGCTAGAAGGCCTGTCATTACTAATGGATGTGTTTGATGGAGCAGCCAGGCTGAGTGTGTCTGAAATCAGATGGAAGTGCAGGACAGGAGGCTCATCATGCAGCATCACGAGGCTCTGTGTGTTCGCAGTCAGGTTACACTGCATCTCTGTTTCCAAATCAAAACAGTCAGCTGAAAATAACCGCATGCTCCTATTTATACATCCAGTTCAGCAGTTGCACTTGGTTACCACAGAACATGAGTCGGCAACTTTTATAGCATCGGCCTGCATTGAAAAGTCAGTTTTGTTTGCCTAAAGACGTTTTATGGAAGCCCGTTTTCGCCAATAAAATTTAATAAAATGTCTAATGGTATGCCATAATTTTGACTTTCAAAGTCATTATTTTGACTTGCAAAGTCATAATTAGAGAAACAAATTCATAATTAGAGAAACAAAGTCATAATTTCGACTTTCAATGTCATTATTATGCAATACAAAGTATAAATTTTGACTTTGTATCTCATAATTGGATTTCTTTTCATTGGCAGAAACGGGCTTCCATATATTTCTACAGAAAAAAGACAAATATATGATTTCTATTTTAGGGATGGTCATGCTAGTTTTCTTCATTTACCACATTGTATTTTTTTTTAAGCCTGCACCTCTCTGGCAGAGAGACCCAGATGTAATAAAAGTTAGAAAAGCTGCACTGACAAGTAAACTGTAGAAAAACGGTGCACCTCAAATGAATTTCTGTAAATGTGGGGGGAAAAAAACTGTGTTGCCATTTTTTCCCCAGTAAACACAGGAAAAGTTGCCTAAAATGAGTTACAGTAAATATGGAACATACTAAGTGATCACACATATGTGGATGGATCTGGGTCCATGTGACCTTTTTGGGGCCTGGATCTGGACCGCCATCCACCTTTTAGAGAACCCTACTTTACAGTCAAAAGAGGCATTTCTGCCCCTATTAAATATAAAATACATTAAATTAAATGTAATTTGTTCAGAGATGCAAATACAGTAGCATAAACTTGGGACAAAAAAAATCAACTAATTAGGTGTTTTATACATAAAATGTGTAGTTTGTGTCAAGAAGAAATTAAATATACCAAAGAAACTAATGAAGGTTATTTGTATTTTTACATGTTAAAACAATAAAAATGACCAAAATTTTATTGAAAAAAAGGAAGAATGAAAAAAAATCTTTATTATATCCACTTCTTGGAGTAAAGATGGAAAATCAGGACAGTTGATAAAAAAAAAAAAAAGTTGATAAATTTCCTCTCATAAAGTCAAAGATCTTTACTGACTTCAACTTTCTTTCATTGTTTCCATGGAAGGGAAGCTGCTGCAGCTACTTCTTGGTGTTTTCAGAAAGTCTTGCCACATATTTCTGCTATTTTATATCTTGATTTTAAGCTTAAATCTCATTTCCTTGTTAATTTTGCTCAAAGCTACAGAGAGCCACAAGCTGCTGCTCTGCCCTGAGTTTGAGGAAAACATTAGCATTTTTTAGATTTGAACATTAAACATAGATTTGATGACGTTTTACAATTAATCTCCTAAATCAGGAGGATAAGAGCAGCCGAACTGCGACACAGACTGAAACATCAGCAAGCGAGGAAACAGGAGACGTGAGAGTGAAAAGAGAAGTAAACAGTTGTGTCTAAAGATCTGCTGTGTTTGTCTTTGTCAGTGTGTGTGTGTGTGTGTGTGTGTGCTGATCAGAGTCTCAGATGAGTTTACTCAGCAGGCAGGAGGCCGCTGCCTGACTGGATGAGGATTTAATGAAATAATGAGATGAGGCCTGAAGCCTCCAGAAGACGACACTAAATATTGATTGGCCTAAAGTTCAGCTGCGTTACGGCCCCAGACGGTTTATCTGAACATGAAATAACATGTAATGTGGACTGACTGTTGGAAATGCCACACAGACTGAGCAAACAGTCACGTGACAGTTCGATTGAAGGTTTTAAGGCAGGCGTTTGGAGTCCAACTTTTGACTATGAGACCATCTAGTGGTGGATTCTGAACAAATAAAATTCATTTGACAGCTATAAATCCATTATGTCAGTGGTTCCCAACCCTGGTCCCTGAGGAACACCACCCTGCGTGTTTGAGCCGTTTCCCTGCTTCAGCACACCTGATTCAATGATTTAATTACTTCCTCAAGTTCTGTTGAAGCCTGTTAATCACTAAATCGTTCAAATCAGGTGCGTCAAAGCAAGAAAACAGCTAAAACATGCAATGCGGTGTTCCTCAGGGACCAGGGTTGGGAACCACTGCTTTATGTGACACCTCATTTTGAGATAATCCTTCATCAGTACTTGAAGAAGCTTCTGTTCATTTATGTAAGAATGGTTACACGCTCTCATCGTTGACCATAGAGCTTTTATTATTTTGATGGCCTCAGTCAACAAAGCTGTAAACTTGTGCTGACTGCAGCGTTCATTTCATGGCAGACAGGAGTCTTGAACGTCCCTCGGCTGCTCCTGACTCTCTGTCTGGGTGTCCTGCCACATCTGACTGAAGGGACATCACACTCCAGTGTTTCTTAGGTCTGCGTTAAACACGTTGGACTGTCTCAGGGGTCTGCATCCTGCGGCTCTGGGACCTCAGGTGGCCCTTCGGTCCCTCTGCAGCAGCTCTTTGAAGCTTTGACCAAAACTAACAGGAAAATGAAATGTATGGGTTTTCCACTTGTCAGTTTTTTCTTTGAAAATGTTTTATTTTTAATAACTTTAGGTTAATCCTACTCACTTTAACTTTATGCCATATTACTCTAAAAAGGGATGCTTAATAAACATTTTCAGCAAACAAAGGACTCAGATAGTCCTGCACAGTTCAGAGTTTTAACTGTGATCTAATTTGATATTTTTTTCCTTCTTTACCTTCATATGGTAGTTTCATTTGTCCTAAAATGTAAAAATATCGATAAATGTCAAAAATCCTTATATAATTTTAGTTTTATTATGTCACCCCAGCTGGAAAAGCTCCCCTCCATTGAACTCAAAGTGGCCCATGGGCCACCAGTTGATAATCACAGTTGTAGCACGTTTTGCGTCTCCGGACACATTTTATTTAGTGAACGAAGGTGTAAATATCTCTGTTGATTGTAAAAGTTGCAGACGCCCGGACGGCCTTGTTGTCCCGTCGTTGTTGATCAACTGGAGGAGTTGCTTCAAACTAACCTGTTGACAGTCGTCTGAAAGGCCTTGGCAACTTTTCCACACAGCTACAACTTTTTAACAACCCTCATTTAATCATCTAAGTCAAATGTTTGAATCCTGGTGTCTCGTTTTGACGGCGCTGGTTAGAGTCGTATTAACTTAATCTAATTAAATCCCAGTGTAAACAAGATAAAGCTAGAATTCAAGTTGCTGCTTCCTGACCTCACCAGGAAAAGGAGATCACCAGACGTCACACATCACGCCACATATTCTGTTCTCCAGGATGGACACATGAACACTTTAACAGATCAAGTCCAACGGGGCTGGAGATGTCTTGGATTGGTCATCTTTTCCCAGGATGCACCTCCCACATGAGGTGACCAGAGGCTTAGTGTGAGCCTGATTAGGTGTGCAGCAGGTGGGGACAGGATGTCAGACGGGACCCAAACAAACGCATGGACGTAGATCTCCTCCTGTGAGTGTTCTTCCATCATCTTCTCATTTATTTATATTTAGTTGTTTTGACTGAATGTTTAGTAGCATCTAAACGAGATTATTTTAACTGCTTGTAGTTCTGTGTCACATTTGGTGGAATTGTCACTCAGCACATTATTACAGAAATGATAATAATTTTGGTTTCTAATTAAAAGTGGTTAGCTTAGTGGTTTGGTCTTTTTCTTCATTTCATAAGTTTATTAGCTACACTCAAGGTTTATAATCTCCCTGGAAATGCACCTGTTACCCTCTTTGTTTGTATTTTTGTGCTCCGTTTTAGTTTATGTTTAGCGTGGATTTCCAAATTATTAACCAGATTAAACATCCTGTCAAGTCCCAGGATTTCTTCAGTTTTGTACGTTAAATATTCACATTAATAGAAAATATCGTTGCACAAAATCTGCAGATGATGTATTTTATTGTGCTTTAATAACGCGTTCATTCATGCAGAGTTCAGCTGCTTCTTTAAATTCTCCCGGTTTTGTTTTCTGATGGACGTGAGGACCCCGTCACTGTCCAGAACAAAATTGGGTCAGCTCGTTAACATTTTAAAAACTGGGCCGTTCTAAACTGGCTTTCAGCAGATTACAGCGCCAAAACAGGTGCGTGGGACCAAAAGGCACTTAGAGCTGAAGGTGTTTTCCTGGACTTGTAGTTTCCCTGTCAGAGATGAAGGGCGATCCTCTGTGACTCTTTGAAGCCCCCGAGAGACCAGAGGGACATCCAGAAGGTTTTTAAAGGGGGACCAGATGGGGGCCACAGAATGTCTTGGGGCGGCACATCAAAACTATAAGCAACTAAAGAAAATGCATTTCCGGTGAAAATGCAGTGTGAATGCTGCTGATGAACTTGCTGAAAAACAGCTGAAATTAGCTAAAGAAATGCTCAAATGTAGCTGAAATGGAAGAAAAAGCCTAAAATAGTAGAAGAAAGCAGAAAGAACCCATATTTACTGAATTTGGGTTTAAATAAGCAGAAATTAGCATAAAAATTTGGAAATTAGTTTAAAAAAAGCTGCAATTAACAAAAATAGCTGAAAATAAACCAGCTTTTTCTGCACTTTTAATTACTCTTTAGATGTTAATTTTAGCTTTTTCAGCTAATCCCACATTTTTTTTTATCTCATTTCAGCTCTTTCCGCTTCCTTCTGTAGTTTAAGCTTCTTTTTGCCTTTTCAGCTAGAAAAAAAGCTGAAAGGAGCACAAAAGCCTGAAATTAGCATAAAGAAGCTAATTTGGCTGAAAGTAGAAATTAGAACAAATATTTTGAATTTTTCTGAAAACAGCTGAAATTAGCTAGAAAAAGTTTAAAAAGTAGAACAAGCTGAAATTAGAAGAAAGCAGAAAGAACACGTTTGTCCAATTAGGCTTAAAGAAGCAAAAATTATCACAAAAAAGTGGAAATTTGCAACAAAAAAACCCCCAACAATAACAAACAGCTGAAAATCAGCTAAAAAACAGAAAGAAGCTTAAATTACCAGAAAGAAGTGGACAAAGTACATTTTGCTGAATTAGGCTGATAAAACTTCTAATGAGTGCAAAAAATGTGGAATTAGCTGAAAAAGCAAAAATCAGCATAAAAACAGCCAAATAGTAGCTGAAATGGCAGAAAAAGCTGCAACTTTCATAAATAAGCTGAAAGGAGCTGAAAGAAGTTAGAGCACAATAATGTTGTAGTTGGCAGAAAGAATCTGAAAGGAACACAAACAGCTGAAAAAACAGCTGAAATTAGTTGAAAGTGGCTGAAAAAAGTTTAAATTTGCAGAAGGACGCTGAAAGAAGCTGAAACAGAACAAAATGTGAAAGGAGTAGTAAAAGGTTGTAAACAGATCCAAAGATTTGAAGGATGTAAAATGAGCTCAAATATTTTTTATTAGACAAAAAGTAGCAGAAAAGGCTAAATATTCCAAAAAGCTAAAGTTGCACCAATACCAAAAGTATGAACGAGCTGAACGTTTTGATTTATGGTTTGTTGAAATAGCTTGAAAACTACAGGATGAGAATGATGCTGAAAAACGTACAGAAGAAAAATGGATGACAATTGCGTGAATGCTTCAAAAACATTCACACAACATGATTTCAGGAGTTTTTACTGCTGTTATGAAATACTTCAAGATGGGATCACCTTCTGACAAACACTTGTCCTCTCCTTTTTTAAATTCAGGTACCAGTTCCAGAGAAGATGGTGTCTGCTCTGCTCACCTTGTTCTCCTCGAGGAAACATGTTCAACCTGCTGAGCAACTGCTGCAGCTGGGTCTCCAAAATCCAGGAGCCACTCAGGTACAGAGGACACCACAGGACAAAACCTGCATGACAATAAACACATTAAATCATTTGCAGTTTTGTTGTTCGTGTCAAACATTTTGTCGTCGTTTGCTGCAAACAAACTTATTCCTTCAGCTTAGAGGTGGCCAATTGTTCCTGTCTCCACAGGAAAGCCACCGTTCTCGTTGTTGGTCTTGACAAAGCAGGAAAAACGTCATCCATCAGAGGGATCCTGAGAGGTGAAACGTTTTCTGTCAAACTGAGACCTGAACTCTGAGAGCTGAAGGACTTTGCTGAAAGTTTAGATGCTAAAGTCAAAACGAGCAGAAACATGAGCTAAACTAAAGGGGGAGTGGTGGCGCAGAGGTTAGAGAAGATGGGCCTGTGATTGGAAAGTTGCAGGTTCAACTCCTGGTACCGTCAACATCAATATGTTGGTGGAAAAGGTGAAACACCCACCCCTGCCTCCACCCTCACCTGCCTCCACCCTCACCTGCCCCGCTCTGTGCCCCTGAGCAAGGCCCTTAACCCCCACCACCTGCTCCCAAAACAGGTTTCTCTTGAAAATGAGTTCTCAATGAGACTAATAAATAAATGGTGAATGAAAAAAAAAAAAACTAAACCATGAACAGCAGTAACAAGCAGCAAAACAGAAACTAAAGGCTGAAGCAGCAAAACTAATAGCTAAAAGCTGAAAACAGTAAAAGCTTATAACTAAAGCAGCAAAGCAGCAAATCAGAAGCTAAAACCAGAAAAAAACACTAGCTAAAACTAACAGTAGTTAATTAATAACTAAATAAAGCACAGCACCAACCAAAAGTAGCAAAAAAGCAGGAAAAAAAATAAAATGGCAAAATGCTAGCTTAAAAATAAAAGTAGCAAAGGTGAGATATAAGTAGCAAAAGTTTGGCTAAAAGCTATAAGTGGAAAAATGCTAGATAAAGTTAAAATAATTGTAAAATGTAGAAAACAGTGGCAAAAAGGCTAGCTATACAAGTTAAGAGTAGCAGAAGGTTATCTAAAAGTTAAACATAGCAAAATGCAAGGTGAAAGTAGCAAACAACTTAGCTAAAAATGGAAAAAGTACAGCTAAAAGTAACAAAAGTGCAGCTACAAATTAAAGTGGTAAATTGCTAGCTAAAAGCTGAAAGTGGTAAAATGCTACCTTAAATATAAAAAAAATGCAAATGTTAGATAAAAGTAGCAAAAGGCCGGCAAAATGCTAAAAGTAGCAGAACTGCATCCAAAAGCTGAAAGTAGCAAAAGGCTAGCTAAAAGTAGCACATGGTTAGTAACAAACTAAAACAAGCAAAACATTAGCTTAAAGCTAAAAGTAGCATACGCAGATTGAAATAGTGCAATCAGATTTTAAACAGAACAATGTTTTTGAAAGGACTAAAGAAATCTCAAAGTATTTGTTAGATTACAAAAAAGTTAAATATTATAAAAGCATAAAAATCACAAGAATCAAAAGCTATAGCTGAACGCTTATGAATGGAAAAACAACATTTTTCAGAAGATGGAGCGCAAAAACAAATGAAACATAAACAAAGAAACAGACAAAACATTTTTCATGCTTGATAATATTTGTAAAAAAAAACTCTAACAAGGTTCAGTCAGGTCATCTGGACAGCTTCTTTTTGTTTTTTTGAGACGTTGCATCCCTTTTCCAAAGAACTTTAGCCTCAGAGGAGTCGACAGGGGAGAGGGCGGGCCCCAGAAAACATCTTATCACCATCAAACTGGTTGTTCTACTACGGGAGTGTGCTGCTTGTGGGACTAAGTTTGTTTGTGGCTCCTCGGACTGATGAAGTCTTTTGGATGAAGGACGAAACGTCTCAACAGAAACAAGACCAGATGACCTGACTGAACCTTGTTGGAGACGAAGCATTCACACAACACTGCCAGTAACTGCAGCTATGAGGTTTTTTATTCAGATTGTAAAACAACTACTGGTTCTGCTTCAGTTCCCACTGGTGCTGACCCGGGGCCCACCCACGGCTGCGTCAGGAACGAGCTGAGGGTTGAGAACTACCTGGTCACTCTGCTGGACGTCGGAGGATCCGTGGAGTGGCGCGGAGCCTGGAGGGAGCTCTACGGAGAAGCTCACGGTCTAATCTTTGTGGTGGACTCCAGCGACAGGCAGAGGATGAAGGAGGCCCGGGAGGTCCTGGCAGAGCTGCTGAAGCAGCCGAGGGTGGCGGGGAAACCTGTACTAGTGTAACTACGCTCTGCTTTTAACCTGATGATCCACCATCACGCTCGGCGGTGCAAAAAGAACAGATATTCACGCTTCAGTTGTCCATTTGGTTTCAGGCTGGCCAACAAACAGGACAAAATGAACGCCTTGGTGGGAAGTGAACTGATTGAGATTCTGTCTTTAGAGAAGCTGGTCAACCAGAGCCGCTGTCTGTGCCATATTGTGAGTAAAACCGATCAAGTTGAAACAGCCGGGAGAATTAAAACTGTTCTGTGTGACCTGGGTCGACCTTTTCTGTTGGCTCAGGAGCCGTGCTCAGCCTTAATGGACCTGCGGCGTTGGTCGGACAGGAAGATTCTGCGAGGCCTTCGCTGGCTGCTGCGGGCCGTTTGTCTGGATTATCCAGAGCTGTGTGCTCGGGTGGCCCAGGACAGCAAGAGGCCTCTGGAGCCGAGAGAAAGAGAAAAGAAAGGAAAGTCCGAGAAAGTACAAAGAAAAGCCAAAGTGGAACGGTGAGACAGGCTTTATATTCAGAGGATTAAAGGTTTCATTATTGCAGGACAGCATTCGGTTTACCAAGGAATATAATTAAAATGTTACTTTTTTTTTGTCTAATGTGCCATCTCAGAACGCAATCCAGCAAGTCAGATCTGCGTCAGCATCATGGACCCAGAGAGAAAAAGACAAAGAGCAAGGCCGAGGGAACGATGCAGCCCATCAGGAACATCCTGGAAACGGTAACATTTAGAGAAAAATCTAAAGTTGTGCAAACATCTGTCAAAAATACATTAAAATACAAACAGAGTAAAATGCAAACATTAATATACTTCTGTTAAATGACATTTGTAAATTATGTAAACAAAGTCTTTGTGTTTGACTGGCTGGATTCAGCGTTCATACTTTTGTTTGCCTGTTTTGGTTTTGCAAATTACCTCAGCGTGCGTTGAGCTGTTTTAGCCGTTCATATATTAAAACGTTTGGCTCATTCAGGAGACAGGTGCTATATGACCTTTAGATTTTTAAAAATATTTAATTTCATTTACATTTTTCTTTTAGAAATACATAAAGTATTAAGTCTTAAGTTGTCCCTCAAAGTATTCATCATTTTGAAATTATCTTGGTCCTGTTTTTGTCTTCTAACGTTTATTTTAGTTTTTTACTGCTCTTCTGTGACTTCTGGCTTTTACTTACTGTTTTTATCATTTTAGCTTTTATCCATCGTTCAGCTACTTTTAACTTTAGCTAGATTTTTGCTACCATTTCTTAGAAATTAGCTGATTTTTGCTAGTGTTTTATTACTTTTAATTACCATTTTTTTAGTTTCACGTATCGTTTAGCAACTTTTAGTTAACTACTTTTAGTTAGCATTTACTACTTAAAGTTAACATTTAGCTACTTTTAGTTAGCATTTACTACTTTAGTGTTTTGTTACTTTTAATTAGCGTTTTATTACTTTTAGTTGGCATTTGCATCTTTAAACTATTGATTTGTTACTTTTAATTAGCATTTTGTCACTTTCAGATATCATTTAGCTACTTTTAGTTAGCATTTGCTACGTTTA